TTTTAAATTTCCTGTTGTACTGATGTCTCTGTCTTGCGGACTCTTTGCTCATTAGATTATTTAAGTCTTTGGCTTGTTTGTTTATGAATTCATATTTTAGAGTCTAGCTCTTCCTGGGTTATAGAAGCATATTCTTTTGTCCATTATCAAGGGTTTTTGGTGGAATAAATTTATTAAATAATTTGCTATAAATTCCTTATAGCTTTTCCTTTTACTCACTCAGAGACGAAGGAATAAGTCAAATTCACATGCCATTTCCGAAAATATCACCTATAAAATTCATGTCCCCCTCCCTTGGAAGTTAAAATTCATGTCCCCCTCCTTTGGATGCTGCTTTCTCAAGACTTATGCCACAATACTTATCAGAACTCAGTCTACATCTCAAGTGGTAAAAATTAGACTTACCACATAAAAATGGCTAGAATTTCCTCCAATGGAGAAAGTAGAACTGCCCTGTGGGATGTCAGAGATGTGTTTTTTACAGAATCAGATTGCCACCCCTTTGCCTCACAGGGGGTTTGTGATTTTGAACCAATGACTTTTGGGTTATCAGTTGAATGCTTAGCTACTACACCGCCAGGGTTCCTTATAATACTTATATCCATTCATTGCCATTGGCTCGATTCTCGCTCATAGTGACCCTAAAGGGCAGAGTAGAACTCCCTGTTTGAGTATCCAGGGCTTAAATCTCTATGGGAGCAGAAAGCCTCATCTTTTTCCCTCAGAGCTGTTGGTGGGTTTGAACTCTCTACCCTAAGGTATTCAGCCCAACATTTAACCCAACATTGCCTCCAGGGCTCCTTTGTAATATTGTCATTCCTGAAAATCCATTGTAATTTGTTTTCAGATCATGCTACATGTCAAAGATGGCATACTCGGTAATATACTCTGATTGAATTAATCCATCCTCCACTTTCTCATCTTTCTGCCCTTTTTCTTTGAACTAACGCTATAATTTCCTTAAACAATGAAGATCATTATTGCACTCCATCAAGACGGTTCTAACCCTACAGGTATGACAGATTAGCACTATCTAACAGAGGAGCCCTGGTAGTGTTGTAGTGACCCATTGGGCTGGTAAGCGCAAGGTCAACAATTCAAAACCACCAGCCATTCTGCAGAAGAAAGACAGGGCTTTCTATTGGAAACTCTCAGGGGCAGGGTGGAACGGGGTCTGTTTGACCCTACCCTATAGGGTCACTATGGGTCAGCCTTGACTCAACTGCAGTGGGTCTGGTCTTTGAGTTTAATATTTACAAGAGTAGTTTGATATGTCTCTTCTCCTGCCAGAGAAGAGTGTCTGTTATAAAACAATACAAGTAAAAGAAAATTATTTGTAGCCTTACATGAATAGGCATATAACATTTAGTCCTTTTTTTATTTTCTGCTATGAAAGAATAATTTCAATCATTTTAGTTTCTATAGGTAAACTCATATGAGGATTATTCTGATGAGCAATTCAACATGGAAGTAATGACTTCTTGATATTGCCGAAACGATTCTAACTTTACTCTTTCTTGATGTGTACAATACATTTTAAAGGTCACATTCAACCTAATCATTTCTCTACAAATCTTTCTGATACATTTGTCCAAAAAGAGTAAGATGTATACTTATAAGACAGGAAAGAGTAGATTTTAACCCCAATAGAGTATGTGTCAAGAACAAGAGACAATCCTTCAAAAGGAATATGAGGAATAGGGCACACAAACATTGTTTTGTGATGATTAATGAACATTGCTAGATTAGAATGTCAAGAGTCTAAAAGTGCTTACACTGCGTTTTGCCTTAGTCCATAAAAGTCCTCATACTCCATAGCATATTGTTTGAGTGAGTCTTATTTTGCTGCTGAGGAAACACCTTCTTTCTCTAAGATGCAGTATTTCCTGGGGATCAAGAATCCCTTCCTATGAAACATATTTTTCCATTGTTTCTCCAATCACTCATTTCCTGACTCTCTGAATAGACCATCGCTCCATCTTGCATGTTGCCGCTGTAAGGAATTCTTCCAGATGCCATTTATTTTAGACTTATTTGCAGCTTTGTTAAACACAGCTCAGATTCCCAAAATCAAGAATGAAAAAGACTCATTATATTATCATTTCCCTGAGATTGTGGGTATACATCCTCCAGAGATTTATTTAATGTTTTTCTCAGCTTCAGTAGCTTTTAAATGTTAGGATTTGCTTTGATGTCCCATTAAATTGATTTTCAATGTACTGTCTAGTAAATTTTCCATGTTTCTTTTTTCTAAATGAGCTTCATTCTATCTTTGCATGGAATGAGCCATGGTGTTTTAACAAAACAAAACCAAGCAAAACATTTCAATGAAATTTTCTCAGCTGTCCATTTAAAATGCTCTTCTATTTGTTTTCCTGGCAAGTTTAATTTTCTAATAAGTGTAACTTATATGTATTACTCTTACGATGGCCTAAGGCCTTATTGGATTGTGTATGTATCATTTGAATGCATCATTTGAATTCGATAAAATGTATTAGTCATTTACTTTATTCTGAAAGATGTTGGTAAATCCATGTTCAAGAATACTTCATTGTCTAACTCTATTTTCTAATTTCATATGGAGTTCTTGTTTTTCTTTTATTCGGTAGTAAACTTTATTTTATTTCCATTTAGTGTTCTGTTGAATTCAGAGTTGATATTTTCCCCCACTATGACAAACACAAAATTGTTTCATGCAAATACAGGCATACATCAAGTCCCTACTTGTGATTTTAGCTAAGTCACAGATGTTAGCCTACACACACCTGCCCCACAACCCACTTAGAACAGGAGACTCCCTCTATGAAAGGCTGATGGAAATCTGTTGCACCAAGAATCATACAGTTCATTCTAACCGTGTTGAAGACACCCTCTCTTCTAGAAACTAAAACAGAGGTGTCGATGAATAATACGTGCCCCTGCCTCTCTAGAAACTCTCCACACTTCTCTGAAAGACATCTTCATGATGAAATGAAGCCAAGAGATAGCTCAGGCTCACACTGTATTTATTGAAAAAGTGATGAGCCCAGTTGCTTCTGCTATATTAACCCCATTTGAGTCATTCTCCTAGTTGACCAGGCTGCTGCTGCCCAGTGTCCTCGCCGTAAGTATCCGGAACTCTGGACTCATCAGACCCTGAAGCTGGTGTCCATATTTAGAAATTGCTTCTGGTGACGTGTATCCTCCCAGCAGGGAACATGCAAATACTGTTACCAAACCCATGATAGGAAAACACACAGTGAGGGGAAGGGACTAATAAAAATCCAAATATGTTACCATACTACAGAATTGAAAAATAATTCACAATACATTGTTTCAATACTGTGGGAAGATGTTTCAAAGTGTGATTTATATCCAATTAATATAAAATATAAATGCTTTCTTTCCAACGTTACTTATCAGCAAAGCTCCCACAAGACTTATGTAAATATCCATTTATTATGCATTTGGCAGTTGTGTGAAATTGTCTGTAATGGAAGCTCAGAGAATGCGGGGCTTTCTCAGGAAGTTGCATGATTAGTGGGACATGCGAAGCATAAAAATGACCCCCCCCCCAAGTCTTTTTTCCAACAACCTGTGGTTGGAGCCCAAAGATTCACCATCAATACTGATATTTAGTATTCAGTTAGCATTTTGCAGATCACGGAACACTGCTACTATCAGCATATAATTTGGTCTTGAAAATAGGTTAATCAGAGCAGACAACCAAGGCTTCGACCTTAAGTATCTTTCGAGATCCCAAGACTCCCCAATGGCAAAATTCCTTTAGTTTCCAAAAATGAGTTCTGTTCCTACTGTGTGACAGAGAGCGCTGAATCACTAAGAAAACATGGAAGACAGTTCCTGCCTAAAGAAGCTCATTTTCAATATTATGTGGTAGGGTCCATGCTAAGAATTAGCATACGCTCCCTGGAGAAGACAGGAGATCAGAACTTGGGTGTCCTGGTTCCTCATTCAGTGGATTTTCCCCACTCTACTAATGGCTTCTCCTTAGAAGGCTTTACATGCTCTTAAACGCATCTCCCTTTAAAATTTAAAATACAAATCACCAGGGAGTGGTGTTACGTTGACTCTTTAGCTCTATTAATATTTTTCATATGAATTACTTGATGACCTTGGTGCTGAAAGGGGAGCGGTTCACTGGGAAATGAATTATAGAAAAAGCATAACTTTGAACCAGGGCAAAGGTGTCGTGTCAGGGAGGGTGAAATGCAAGGACAGGGCCACCTGGAGGAGGATGTCACAGAGCAGAGAGATGGTTCCAGGGGTTAGGGTCTGCATTGACAAGACTTTCCCTCTACTTCACAGTTTTTTCACGAACCAACTTAGACTAAAGATAAACCAAAAACCAACCAAACTTCCTTCCATCAAGTCAATGCCAAATCATAGCAACGCCATTGGACAAGGTAGAAGTGTCCCTGTGGGTTTCCAAGATTGTAACTCTTAACAGGAGTAGAAAGCGCCATCTTTCTCCCTTGGGGTGGCTGGTGGTTTCAAACTGCTGGCCTTCCAGTTAGCAACACATAACCCAACACATAACCATTACACAAACAGGGCTCCTTCAGACTAAGCATGGAAAGACCTAGAAATAGAATTTCCTCTTTCTGAGCTGAGTATCTCTCTCATGTCAGACAATGGGTTCGTCTTTGACGATAGTGGGTTTAGCAGTGAGCAAAATGGTCCTCCTCAAAAGCTTGCAGGATAACCGGGGAAATAGATGATCAAGCTACTTTCATGCTTATGACCATGAGCGAAGCATGCGCAACAGTGGACCCCGATCTAGTCTGGAAGTGGTTTCTGAATAACTCCAGTGGGTCCTATAGCATGTGACAGGAGTGAGTGAGCAGAGTTCCAGAACTTGTCATCCCTTAAATCAAGACTCAAGAGGTGTCCTCAATGGTGTATACAAGGCAAAGTGATCACGTGGTTTTTGTTTTCTACCGGAAGTCTCCAAGGTCACTGACTTGGCCTGTGTTTGGCCACTTCTCTCATCTTCGCAGAAACTGCATGTGTTCAAGAAGACCTTGCAAGCCTTGATCTACCCCATGTCCTCCACCACCCCACACAATTTCGAGGTCTGGACTGCGACTGCGCCCACCTACTGCTACGAGTGCGAAGGGCTCCTGTGGGGCATTGCCCGGCAGGGCATGAAGTGTCTGGAATGTGGAGTGAAGTGCCATGAGAAGTGTCAGGACCTCCTGAACGCCGACTGTCTACAGAGTGAGTTGTACTCCCGTAGGCCGAAGCCTTGGTTATTGGTTTTGCTCGACCTGGTTCGCGCACTTCTATTTTGGACTTTGTAGCTCTTTCTGGTTTTCAACAAATCTTATCAGCACACACACAAAGAAACACATACACCAATCATATGGTTGATTATGCGTGTCTGCAGTGCGAAACCACACACACTGTCACGAGCCCCTTCCAATTCATAGCAAGCCTGGAGGGCCGAGTAGAACTTCCCCCATCAGATTTCCAAGACCAGGAAGCAAGGCGGTTAGTAGGTTTCAACCTCTGACCCTCTGGTTAGCAGTTGAGTGCTTTCACCACAGTGCTCATCAGTCTAATCCTGAATATTAAACTAGGCCTTATTAAAATCCTCAGAGTGAACATCAGAATGTTCTGACAAGTGTTATACTTTTTGCTGTCAAGGTGATGGGCAATCCCTGTGTAAAATCATGCAGCCCAAACTGGGGCCAAAGGCTACCCCTCTAAGTGCAGCAATTGGGATTCTTTTCCACCCCTTATTGGCTCTGTGGAGGCCATGGAAATTGGTGGGCCTTGGTTCGAATGAGACAGTTAACTGTACTTACATGTGTGACCTCTGACTAATTATTTGACTTTCCAAGGCTTTGTTTTACTTCAATGAATGAACAGGTATAATAAAATTTTCTTAAGAGGGTTATTGGAAGGACTGAATAAAACAGTAGATGTTCAATGAATATTAAGAGTCACCTTATCTTCTAGCTCTTTCACAAAAGTTTGACCTTTATGACAAGTTCAATGTTCTACACACACACACACACACACACCCCACCTTATGGTACCTTTTAGATTAGTTTCAAAAATGTCAAAATTTAATACTCTAAAATACAAATTTTGGATTTTTCACTGCTATGTTTATTTGGTTGGTTTTATATCTGCTGGCTTGAAAGTGCTAAACAATCAATGCAAACAAAATTTATATGAGCATGGGTTTTCAAATGAAACTAATGTTTTCTCACAGCTACATATTGTTGCCTCTATTATTGTTTATGTGATGTCCTCAATAGAAGCGGGTGAATTGGCTGAAATGGAGAGGAGCAGAGAAGAATGCCAAAGTAGCATTACATCAGAAATACTGTAATACCTGGCTTGTCACAGCCACAACACATTCCATAGCTTTCTCTCCCTGACCAGCATTCTCACTGAACAATCAGATCAGATTGAGGCTATGCTAATGATAACGTATGCATTTATTTAGCAAAAGAAGTCGTATTTTTTCTTTGGAAAATAGAAATTTTATTTTGGAATGACCACTAAAGCAGGAGTGGTCATGTCCAGCTTGTCCTATGAGACCCAAGGCATCATCAATGCCAGCTAAAGTCACACACCACCAAATAGAAGTCATGCCACCCATCACATTAGGGATGACTCAATTAAATGTCTGACCAAACAGTGGGCTAATTTTTAAGCAGATAGTTTTTTATGACCTGAGAAAGATGTTATAAATATCCAAATGGCTTTTGGCAGACAAAAAAGGGTCTCCACTCTTGGCAGTTAATCAACTCTACATAACAAAAACCCAACGCATCTGTTTAAAAATTGAATAGTGAATAGTCTTCTTGAAATACAACAACAAAATTAATGAGCATATTAAAACGGTAAGGTTTGAGAAAACAAATAGGAAAATATTGCCACCCCCTAACAAAAGGCAATAAGATTGGATATATTATTTGGTATTGTTACTATAGACTGGAAGAATTAAAAATAATGGAATAGTGAGGGTGGTGTCTGTGCCTCAGGAAATGGGCATCTTATTAATAAATATTAATAAATCCTCCACAATTTCATTATTAAAGTTGGTACTCTCATATTATGCACAAACAGGGCTTACTGGTTCCTAAATTGAGCTCCAACCCCTCCTAAAATAGCAGTTATTAAAATGTTTTATTCCTTCTACAGAATGAGTGACATTTTCTT